AAGGGCACCTCGCATGAGGTCATGTGCCGTTGAGGGGGGGGTAATGTCACGAGTTGACACGGCGTCTAGCCGCTTTTTAATTTTTTCCTTTTCGCGGGCTCGAACCCGCAACCTCTGTACTACCTGCCCAATACAGACACATCATATCTACTGTACGATCAGATTAGATAGGACGGCAGTGCACGGCACAGCTCGGGCCCCGCTGACGCAGCCGCTCTGACTCACCGGCCCCCGGGGCCGCGTCAGCATGCTGCGCACGGACCAGCTGCGCACGGACCAGCGCGCACAGCCTCCCCTAAACTCCCCCTGTATATAAGCCTGCCTCTGCTGCCCTAGGGACCTCAGTTTCGACCTCTTGTCCCTAGGTCAGTAAGCCCCTGTACTTACTTACTTATTTTCAATACTAACTTACTTGTCCCTAGCCTTAGGTTTGAGCATAGCTCACCATCGCTTTGGTGAGACTTAGTCGGACGCCCCCAGCATTCAAGTTTTCCTCAGTCGCTTGACCTCAAGTCGCGACACCTTCAATTTCCGCGTCCGTACTCGATTCTCCGTGATGAAACACTTGTTGATGAACTTCGTGGTGGCTCCACTGTCCACCATTGCAATTATATCTTTGTGCTGTCTTTCTCCTTGAAGGCGCACCGGGATGTGGAAATGCTGGGACCCATGGTCCAATTCGTACACATTTGCGGTCGCCAATACATTGTACAGATTATTATTACGCGGCCCGACGCGTGCGGCATGAAGTGCGGACTGGATCAAAAAGACTCTTCCTTGAGCGCTCGGTAGTGCTCCAACTCCTCGCGCATTGACTTCATCTGTGCTATTAAGTCCGCCAGCTCGGAACTTTCCGATTTCGCTGAAGCGGCGCTTGTACTCGCTGAGGATGAAGCAACGGGGGCGCTTGTCGCTGCCTGGGTGGAACCCGAGGCAACCGTAGCCCGCGCGTCGGCGCGTTTTGTGTAAGGCTTGTCCTTACAGTTGGGGCACTCGAAACGTCGGTACCCTTGCTTCCCGCAGCCGAAGCATGTGCCGGGGAAGTCTCCTTTTCCGACGGCCGCATTGATGCTGGCCGAAGCTGTATGTGTCGAGGGAGCACCACCACGTGCCCCACCGCGTCCTCGACCTCGGGCCGAGAAGAAGTTGTTTAGCTCGGGCCGACGGGCCTGGCTGATATCGAGGATCTGCTCGACTTCGGTGGCGCACTTCTCAGCTGCTTGCCACGTGGTGAAGGTCTCGAGCTCGATCTTGCGGTATACGCGGGAGGGGATGCCGCTCAGGTACTTGTCGCGTAGCTCCAGGTCCCCATACCCGGAACGGTCCGCCGGACCCTTGAACAGCGCGGAGAACTCCGCAGCAGTGTGTTTTTCGCGGACCGACTTGTCCGCACAGAGCTTCACCAGCTCTACTTGTGCTGCCGCCTCGTCGTCGAGATTTCCGAAGCGGGCCTTGAAGGCAGCGGTGAAGGCCGCTTCGTTCCCAAAGGGGGTTGTAACCCCTTGCACACCCATCTGCACCGACGCGAGTTGGGCGAAGTAAGGAGTGGCCCAAGCCCGGGCGTCGCCATCGAGCAGGCTCATTGCAACTTGCACCTTGAGCTCGATGGTCGTCAGCGACGTGTTGACCAACCAGTAGATGCACAGCTGCGACAGGAACCTGTCGCACTCGATGACGGTCTTGCCATCATAGCGAAGAGGGAGGAGGAGTTTCAGGGTCTCCTTGTCGGGGGCGGTCGCGGGGGAAGACATTATCGGTGTC